AGGTCAAGGGGGTGGGATGGGGCTAGTAGGTAGGAGATGGGCGTGGGGTTTGAGGTGGGAGGAGGGCATAGGTGGGAGGAAGGACAGGTCAGGGAGGTGGGAACAAGCTGGGCTGGTTTTGGGATGCAGTAGAGGGAGGGGAGATTTTGAAGCTTGTGAAGTCGACATTGATACCATTGGGCTGCAGAGTTCCCAAGCGAAATATGAGGTGCTGTTCCTGCAACCGTTGGGTGGCATCGTTGAGGCACTGCAGGAGGCCCAGGATGGACATGTCGTCTGAGGAATGGGAGGGAGAGTTGAAATGGTTCGCGACTGGGAGGTGCAGTTGTTTGGTGCGAACCGAGCGTAGGTGTTCCGCAAAGCAGCCCCCAAGCCTCCGCTTGGTTTCCCCGATGTAGAGGAGGCCACAACGGGATCAGCGGATACAGTATACCACATTGGCAGATGTGGAGGTGAACATCTGCTTGATGTGGAAAGCCTTCTTGGGGCTTGGATGGGGGTGAGGGGGGAGGTGTAGGGGCAGCTGTAGCACTCCCTGCATTTGCAGGGAAAAGTGCCAGGTGTGGTGGGGCTGGAGGGGAGTGTGGAGCGGACAAGGGAGCCATCTTAGTTTGTGCTAGATATGACACCAACAGTGGAGAGATTTCCTCCAATTCCTATTGACTTTTGTTTTTGTAAGGTTCTTTGATGCCACTCTTGGTCAAACATGGCCTTGATGTCAAGGGCAGTGACTCCTACCTTTCTTCTAGAACTCAGCTCTGTTTTCCATGTTTGGACCAAGACTATAATGATCATAAACTGTGCCCCTGGCAGAACCCAAACTGAGCAGCTTATTGCTGTGCAAGTGCCACTTGATAGCACAGTTGGCATACCTTCCATTACCTTTCTGCTGATAGAAAGGTGTTGATGGGGTGGTAATTATCTGGGTTGAATTTGTTCATCCTTTTGTGAGTAAGCCATACATGGACAATTTTCCACATTGCTGGGTAGATGCCAGTGTTGTAGCTATGCCGGAACATCTTGGCTAAGCAGGCACGGCTAGTTCAGGTGCACAAACTTTCATTATTACTGGATATTTATTACTGGATATTGTCCAGACCCATTGTCTGCAGTATCTGCTGCCTCTGGTTATTCTTTTAAAAAAATCATGTGGAATGAATACAGTTGGCTGAAGACTGGCATATGAGATGCTGAACAGCCTGAGAAGGAGGCTGAGATGAATCACAAATTCAGCACCTTTGGCTGAAGATTGTGGCAAGTGCTCCAGCATTGTCTTTTGTACTACTGTGGACTACCTCATCATTGAGGATGAGGTAACTCGTGGAGCCTCCTCCTCCAGTGAGTTGTTTAATTGTCCACCACCATTCATGACTAGATATGGAAGGACTGCAGAGCTTAGATCTGATCTGTTGGTTGTGGAATTGCTTGGCCCTATGAAATACAGCTGACCTGGAAGCAGCCTATGTTGTAACTCCACTATGTTGAACGTGGGTATGCCTGGTGCTGTACTCACCACTCTTATTTAAACCTGGGTTGGTCCTTTGACTTGAAGGTAATGGTAGAATCTAGCCATCAGGGTAACTAACCCTGGATTTTATGGGGCAGTTTTGTATTTGAGGCAATTGTTTTGTGTTCTGGGTTGATGCTGTTGGAGTATAATTTGTTCTGTATTTCAGGCTTTTAAATCTTGTGCCTTGTGCAATATACACCTGAGATTTCTCTCCTGAAGGTTCACCAGCACACACCCCCTTCCCTGAAAGTTTGTACCATCTCTGCTAGGTCTGCCCTGCCACTGGGACAGGATAATTCCAGGATACTGATAGTGGTGCCAGGAGCATTGGTTATAAGATGTATTAATGGAATTCATGTTCCACCAACTGTTGTGCTTTGAGCTGAAACTGTGTCCCCCATTGCATTAGTCTGGACCTGTGGATTGCTATTCCACTAGTATCACCATCACCCCACTTCTTCCCTGGTTAGTCGGTGGAAGAACTCTCCCAATTTTAGCACAAGGACCCAGATGTTAATGGGGAGGACATGCAAGGGCTGAGTTACCATTGCCAATGCCTACATTGATGTCACGTCCCTCCAGTTTTATTCTTTTTTGACCTTACTTTCCTCATTTGGGATAATGAGATTTAGGTAACACCAACAAGGTCAGCATTTGTTGCCCATCTCTAATTGCCTTGGAACCGAGTAGCGTGCTGAGCTATTTCCAAGGACAGTTCAGGGTCAGCAACATTGCTGTGGTTCGAAGTCACATATAGATCAGAACAGGTATGGACAGCAGTTTTCCTTTGCTAAGGGTCATTGGCGAACGACAGTGTTTTAATTATAATAAATGACAGTTTCTTGGAGACACTGAGTCTAGCTTTCAATTTCAGATTTTTAAAGAATGAATTGAATAAACAATTTTTCCAGCTGATGTGGTAGGATTTGAAGCATTGTTCCTGAGTCATTAGCACAGGCCTCTGGGATACCAGTCTTCTGTCTCTGTCCAGTATTAGCCTTCTGTATCTATGGTAGGATCCTCTAGAAGAAGCAGCAAAAGACCTTGAAAGGGCAGAATTAAGTGAACGATTGGAATTGAGGTTGGCATTGAGGGCTTTGGTTAGGACCAAGTTCTACAGCATATACATAAAGGGCCTGATTCTGAGGGACAACTGCAATTAAGGCCTTTTCTTTCCAACCAAGATAATTTGGGGTCTATCCTTGTTTCACTGCCCAACCATGAGACTCCATCTTCACCTTCAACTACAAAGGGTGGTGGAGAAGGAAGAACAAATAACAGTCTTGTGGAGTATAGGTGCTGAAATCCTGGTCAGGTGGTAATGTGAGGTTTGAAATTTCCATCATTCTCCATTGTAACCACTATTTCAGATGGAATTGTGAAGAAACCCATCTCAAGTTTCTCCAGTTCAGTCATCTGATCCAAGTTTGTAAGTTTTTCTTCCTTCAGCAAGTCTGAGAGTTCTTTGTGATAGTAGGAAGTGCCGATGCTGGAGAATCTGAGATAACAAGGTGTAGAGTTGAATGAACACAGCAGGCCAAACAGCATCAGAGAAGCAGGAAAGCTGATGTTTCGGGCCTGGACCCTTCTTCAGAAAATTTCTGAAGAAGGGTCCAGACCAGTAACGTCAGCTCTCCTGCTCCTCTGATGCTGCTTGGCCTGCTGTGTCCATCCAGCTCTACACTTTGTTATCTGAGAGTTCTTTGTGCCGTTTTTAATACGTTCACTTAAAACTGTACGTGAAATTATCTTAATCAGAGTGGCTATGCAGTCCTAATATATCTGTGTGGAGGTCTTGGAGGAGTGGGCAGCAGGTAATAAAGCTGGGGTATTCCTTTCCCCAGCCACCCACCCTACAATGCTTTCATAATCAGAATCTGTCCAAAAAATTATTTGTGCCCAAATGATTCTATGCACTGCCAACATTCTGTATGAGATGATTTCAGCCTCAGGCAGAAACTATTCTTGAAAATACGAATGCAGGTAGGAAAAGGCTGGCAGCATTTTTATTTCATAGAAATGAAGCGGGGATTGGAGGGAGGGTTGGAAATGGTATGTTCCTCCTTGACCTGACACAACCTGTCCATCTTCTCTCCCACCTATCCGCCCCTCCCACCTCACTGACCAATCCCCACCACTCCCTACATGCACTCACCTATCACCATCCCACCTACCTTTCCCAGCCCCACCCCTCCTCTCTATTTATTTCCCAGCTCCCTTCCCCCTCCCCATTTCTGAAGAAGGGTTCCAGGCCCGAAATGTCAGCTTTCCTGCTCCTCTGATGCTGCCTGACCTGCTGTGTTCCTCCAACTCCACACTGTGTTGTCTCTGACTCCAGCATCTGCAGTTCTTGCTATCTCCACGATGTTTGCCTTGTGTTTTTTTCAATCTTCCACCAAACAGTAAAATCCCTGAGAAAATTCAGGTTGGCAATGTTAACTTTGTGCATAGCACTGTTTAGACCGCAGACAGTGTACTGCATTGAAGAAAAGGGCATTAAATTTACATTAAGCATGCAGTGCTGTTTCATCTGAACAATACCAAGATTGAGAAACCATGGTTATGAGAAATACTTGAGATACTAGGAGTAATTTTGCAAAAGCAGGGTTGGCTAAGAGGGGATTTAATTAAGGATCTTATAAATGAGTCTTTTTTAATAGAGCACACATGCAGACATTACCTTGTGTTTGAGCAGTCTGTATCAAGAGTTCACTCATTTAAAATGATCACTGAGAGTGAGGAATGAACTTAGGAGAAATTATGATCTGAGAAATGGAATGTTTCGCCATAGGGAATGATTGAGGCAGAGATGACTTTATCATATGAGGCAGAAGTTGAAACATATTTGAAGAACAAGACACAAGGTTATGATGAGGTTGGGGTTTAATTTTTGATCGACTCACAAAGTGGAAACACAAATAAGATAGCCCCAATGGCTCCCTTTTGTCCTGTAAACGTCAATGATTGCCCATCAATCAGGATCAGACCTGCTCTCTAGCCCAGGCATGCTGAAGGGAATTATAATGCTGCTGCTGTATCCCCTGCTGATTGAGTCACCTCAACACACCCAGTGGTCAAAGCTGCTGCCTTCCTCGTCTGCATAGTTCAGTACTATATCTTATTGCAATCCACTTCTCAACTGTTTCTACATAAACACTCTCTCCCCTTTTACAGAACATACAAGAAATTAAATGATTTATTTGCAATATTTGAGATTAAATTACGTTTCTGATACTTAAAAAGACATTTGTGCTATAAGAATAATTTAAATAAGTTGGACTTCTTTGACCAATAATTAAAATTATTGTTCAAAGAATAGAGACAGAAATGTTTTAATTATTTTTAGACTGACAATACATTTATATCTGTTCAGTGCATTTACATGATTCATATCTAATCTCTTAAGTTTTGCAATTAAATAAATAGTGCTAAATCCGCAAGCAACAAAAACTGGTGCAGGGTAACCAATGTTTTGTGTTTTCTTCCATAGGACCGTCGCTTCAGAGATGAAATAGATAAATTGACCGGATACAAGACAAAATCCCTTTTGTGCATGCCAATTCAAAACAGCGATGGTGAGATTATTGGTGTAGCCCAAGCTATAAACAAAAATCCAGGAGGAGCTCCCTTCACTGAGGATGATGAAAAGGTTGGATTTTATTTCTTGTTCATCATTGATTAACTTTTAATAGCCTTATTTATAATAAAACTAGACCTAACACACAGCACAGTAGCTATCCTCAATATTTCTGATGATTTTGTGAAAGCATTTTATCGAAGAACATTGAATACCAAATCCAAAGTCATTACAGGAAAGGTATTGCATAAAATAGATTCTAATGCTATTGAAATAATTTAACAATAACAAAACGTTAAAGATTTCCTGTAACAGTGTGTCATTGCGGAAGTACAAGTTATTTATTCATTTAAAAAAAAAAGGAGTGATACTGAATTTTTTGAGCATGCAAAATTGTGAATCATTTTTAAGTGAAATTACTTCTAATTTGCTTCATTGCTTTAATTAGCAGTACATTTTAACCATACTTAGGAAAAGTAAATTACATCACTACAATGATATATAAGAATTTACTCAATGTTTGCTCAATGGGAGCAGCTGTTCTTTTAAAAGTTTTGCTTCAAGCGCACACAAGAGCAACTGTAACAGCAAAATAATGTTTTCTGTTGGATGGTGGTACACATAAACAGCAGACAATTTCCAACCTCATTTGACTCCTCAATTATTTTCCATTGTTCTATTATTTCACAGAGTGTACTTGATATTAATTTCTTTGGAGTAATATTTTACATAGAAGACAGTCCTCATGATTTGTATTGTGTCAGTGGTTGTTTTGTTACAGTGTGGCCCAGTGTATTTATGGTATAAAAGGAAAAGAAAAACATATTGGCATTTAAATAATGCCTTTCACAACCTCAGGGCCTGGTAAAGTGCTTTACTGCAATGAAGTACTTTAGAAATGTAGTCACTGTTGTAATGTAAGAAACACATCAGCCAATTTATGCACAGCAAGCTCCCACAAACAGCAATGTGACAAACATCAGGTCTGTTTTAGTGATATTGATTGGGAGATGAAAACTGGCCAGGACATAGGATTTAACTCCCCTGTGCTAGGAATGTTATGCTCACCTGAGTGGGAAGTCAAGTCCTCAGTGTAATGTCCCATCTAAAATACTATCTCTCTGATAGTGCAGCTCTCCTTCAGTACTGTACTGGAATCTCAGTCTTGAATTTGGGCTCGAATTCTACAGTGGGACCTGAGCCAAGAACTGTAAAATAGGGTGGATAAACTAATTAAAAACTCCCACAGCTGGTGCCTTTTCCCTGTCTTGCTCAGAATTGGACCAGTTCATTGATTTTTGCTTTCAGTTTCCAACCCGCCCTAACTTTCATATGATCTTTCTCTGACTCCTCCCTTCCCTTCCTCAATGTCTCTCTTTCCATTTCTGGGGATAAACTGGTCACTAATATCCACAATAAACCCACTGACTCCCAGCACTACCTGAACTATACATCCTCATACCCTGCTGCCCGTAAAGATCCCATTCCATTCTCCCAGTTCCTCCTTCTCCATCATATATGTTCTGAAAAGGCCAACTTTGACAAGGCAGTCTCCGAAGTGTCCACCTTCTTCCTCACCCAAGGATACCCCAGCACAGTTATCGGCAGGGCCCTCAACCAGGCCCAACCCATCTCCTGCACTTCCACCTCATCCCCTCTCTTCCCTCCCACAACAGCGATAGGGTTCCCTTTGTCCTTACCTACCATCCCACCAGCAACCACATCCAGAAGATCATTCGTCGCCATTTCCGCCGCCTCCAGTAAGATGCCACCAGCAGACACATATTCCCCTCCCTCCCTTATCTGCCTTCCACAGCGACCATTCCCTCTGGGATACCCTGGTCCACTCTTCCTTCATCCCCAACACAGCCCCACAGCCACATAGCACCTTCCCCTGCAACCACCGATGGTGTATCACCTGCCCACTTACCTCCTCCCTCCCTACTATCCAAGGGCCCAAACATACCTTCCAGGTGAAGCAGGACTTTGTCTGCACTTCCCACAATCTAATCTACTGCATTCACTACTCACAATGTGGTCTCCTCTGCATTGAGAGAATGAAGCATAGACTGGTGACCGCTTTGCAGAACACCTACATTCTACTCGCACAAAAGACCCTGAGCTTCCAGCTGCCTGCTATGCTAACACACCACCCTGTTCCCTGGCCAACTTCTCTGTCTCAAGCTTGCTGCAGTGTTCCTGCTCAGCTCAGCTCAAGCAGGAAGAACAACACCTCATTTTCCACTTGGGAACCCTGTAGCCCTCCGGACTCGATGCTGAGTTCAATATTTTTAGGTCCTGAACTCTCCATGTTCCAGCCCTCAACCCCACACACCAGGCCTTGTTATCACATAGTCTGCCATTACACACTACCTATTGTTGGCCACTAACAGTCTCCACTAACAGCTATTCACTCTCCTAGCCAGATTGCTATCGACTCCTTTATCTGTCCAACTGTTCTTCTGTCTCTCTGCGTTCTATCCTCACTATCATTTACGCCTAAACCCCTCCGCCCACCATATCTTCTGCATATAAACCAACTTTTTCCTAGCTACCATCAGTTCTGAGGAAGGGTCACCGGACCCAAAATGTTAACTCTGATTTCTCTTTGCAGATGCTGCCGGACCTGCTGCAATTTTCCAGCAACTTCTGTTTTTGTTTCTGTATTTAAAAACAGTGAACAATAAGTCAGAAAACGTTCTCAAACTTGTGTACCTCAGTGTAGAGAGTCTCTTGGGTGTCTGGTTATTCAGAAAAAAAACAATTTGTCCTCATGATCCCCCATGTAAAAATTCGTGACTGACAATATATATAATGATATTCACATTTCCAGTGATTGAGTGCAAGGATCACAAGCAAGATTTCAAGTTTCTGGACTTTTATCATAACAAAAAAGCTAAAATCAACATTGTCTAAACACATGCAGTCGGCAACCATTACTGTAATCTAGGGAATAAATCCTCTGTTCAATCTACAAAATGACAGGATACACCCCTGTATGGTTATATTTCATCCTTTAAGTAGCCATCTCATTCTCCTGGAATCAGCCCACAGCTTGTTTCATATAAATATATGAATCAGGAGCAGGATTAGGTGTCTCTGACTTTGAGCCTGCTCTTTCCTGATTTGATTACTTTACATTCTTTCCATACCCTGATAAATTTTCACCCCTAGCTCATGAAGACTCCATCTACCTCCACCTTAAAACCATTTGAAAACTGCTCCCACCACCTTTTGAGGAAGATACTTTCAAAAGTTAATGACTCTCTATGAGAAAAATAATTATCTTCATCTGTGTCCTAAACACATTACCCTGATTTTCAAACCACAACCCCTAGTCCTATGGTCTCCCACAAGAAGAAACACCCTTTCCACACACACTCTGTCAAGACCCCTCTGGACCTTATATTTTTCATTGAAATTGCCTCTTACTCTTCTAAATTCCAGCCAATATAAGCCTATATTTTCTTCCTCGTACATCTGCTGGGGAAATTACAGAGAAATGCCAACATTACAGGGTAGTTATAATGGGGGACTTCAATTACCAAATATAGGTAAGGATATTGGAGGTGCAAGGACAGCAGGGAGCAAATGTTCCTATATGGTATTAGGGAGAGTTTCTTCCAGCAATATGTGCCCAGTTCAACAAGAAAGAATGCATTGGTGGACCTGGTCTTTGGAAATTAGGTGGACCTAGTGAATCAAATGTCAGTGGAGGGAACATATAGGAGGCAGTGATCATTGTATAAAAAGTTCAGGGTAGTGGTGGGAAATGACAAGCAATAATCCTGAGTAAGAAAGGTCTATTGGCAAAGAGCTGACTTCAGTGTGTAAGAACAGAGCTGGGCAGGATTGACTGGAATAAGAGGTTGGCGGGAAGAGCAGTAATTGTACAATGGGTTACCTTCAAAGAGCAGATCGTTAGGTTACAGTTGAGATATATTCCCTCAAATGGGAAAGGTGCAACAATAAATCCAGAGTTCCCTGGATGACAAAGGAGGTAAAAATTAACATTAGAAAGAAAGAAGTGTGCTTATGACAGATGTAAGACAGAAAATGCAATTGAGAACTACAAGGAATACTGAAGGCTTGGGCGGGGGTTGGATGGGGGATGTGAAAAACAAATAAGAGAAGTGAAGAGGGATTATGAGAAAAGATTAGCAGCTAACATAGGGTGGAATTCGAAAGTCTTTTATAGGCATATAAATAGTTACTTAGTGGTTAAAGGAGAAGTAGACTGATGCAGACCAAAAAGGGGATTTATAAATGGAGGCACGGGTAATAGTTGAGGTGTTAAATGAATATTTTGCATCTGTTTTTACAAAACAGAAGGAGGATGCTGCCCAGGCCATGATGACAGCTGAGGAAAACTCTGTCACTAGAACAGTTCAACATTAATAGGGAAGAAGTCTTGAGTAGTCTGTTGGTACTTAATGTTGACAAGGCACTGAGACGAGATGAGGTGCATCCAAGGATTTTGAAGGAAGTAAGGGTAGAAATTACAGGGACATTGGTCAAAATTGTGCAGTCTTCCCAGGACTCGGGAAGTGCCAAAAGAAAGGAGAATTGCAAACATTATGGCCTTGTCAAGAAAGTTTGTAAGGCTCATCCCAGCAATTACTGACCAATCAGTTTAACTTCAGTGTTGGGGAAGCTTCTCAACACAATTATTGCGGATAGAGATTGGTGGTCACATGAGAAAGAGGAGTTCATTAGAAAGAGTCGGCATTAATTTCTAAAACGGAAATTGTATTTCACTAACTTGCTGGAGTTTTCTGTATTGGTAACAGAATGGCTTGATGAGGGTAACACTGTCGATGTGGTATAAATGGGTTTCCAGAAGGGGTTTGATACAATGCCACCCAACAGACTTGACGAAAGTTATATGTCATGGTATAAGAGGGACAATAACAATATGGATTCAAAATTGGTTGTGATGTGAAACATTACAGGAAAGATGTGAATGCATTGGAAAGAGTACAAGGTGTGATTTAAAAGAATGGTTCCAAGAATGAGAAGCTTCAGTTATGAGGATAGAAGGAAGAAGTTAGAACTGTTCTCCTTGGAGAGAA